CATAGGCCCCAAATCACTATAAACCTCCGAACCCAAAGATGCTTAAAAAGCAGACGTATAACCGTATATAACCCAAAATGCCCAAACTCAAACCTCGAAAGCAGCTCCATCAGAAAAATCATTCACTCGACCCGAAGCCAAAAAAAAGCAATCCCTGAAGCATCAGCAAAAAAGGCAAAACAACAGCGAAACCACAGGCTGGCCCCTCCACGCTCCTGGCTCCCGCACCTGGAAACCTCCCCGAGCGAGTCGGATCAGGAGCTCTTCACAGAAATTTGACATTTTTGGAGTGCTAGGGCTGCTAGGGTGTCTTCACAAGACGAGGACTTTGCTGTGAATTTTAGTATGATCATATAGCTTCCCGGGGAACATTACTGTGATTCTTGCAGAACCGCATAGCAAGGGTCTTTGTGGTTGGATTGTAGGATTGTCGGCTGTTCCAGACAACATCGAGTCTTTTGGAATTCACTTGGAGTTCCTGATGTTGGCGATCTGGCCATCGAGCTGACAGGGGAGGTACACCTATATACCCCAAAGCCAAGATATTGCTTCTATAACTGTTCATGCATTTCCGACATGCACATAAAGGTGCGCAAAAGCTGTTAAGATTCCGCAGCTGCCTTAAATGAATAGCTTCTTGAACGTACTTACGGTGAGGTCGGTGAAGGTAATTAGTGGACATTGGCTGGTCGATTTGCATCGACCGTCACACGCAGTGCAGTGCGCGGAGAAAGGGGGAGAAATAGTGAGTAAGAGTGATGGCGAGTGAGAGCGAGCGTGTCTGCGTGCACGTATGCTTGTTTCAGCTTCCGAACCTTTCGCCCACTGCATCCGAAGCCACGTGTTTCAGGCGCTGAGCCCAGCGCGGGCTCGGGTGCCATCGCTGGCTGCTGCCGCTCTACGGCTGCTGCTTGCTAGGTGACGGATGATCCCAAAATAGGGTCAATTTGGTTCGAACGCGGGAAACCCCAAAACGACCTTCGAAACGAAGTTGGAAGGGGAAGGGCTTGGGTTGCAGAGTCTACAGTCCCAACCTCCGCTCCAAGTTTTCCATGCTGCCATCTGGAACCTGGAAAGCAAGTTTCTCTCCATGTTCGTCAGGTGGGAATCTCCTTTGCAGTCCTTCCTGTACCCGCATCTCAGCTTAAAAACGACTTTCCCGCAGGTGATGTGGAGTTATAGAGGTTGAGAACAGGTTCAGCCAAGGTGTGTGTGCAATGCTCATGTTGCGGACCAAGATGCAGAAGAGGTACATGGAGATGCCATACCTTTAATTATTTAGTAGTGCCATTGATCATCGTTAGTAGCATGAACATTCACATCTTAATATTGGCAAGGTCCCAGACGGCTCGGCTTTGCTTGGCTGCTCGGCCGCCCGCACGACGGTGCCTTCTCGATGCAGCGCTGATGGAGCTCATTGCGGAGGAGAAGACTCGGGTTTACAGCATGTTTCACTTTCAACTATTTAGAGAGCTTCGGGATGTTGATAGTATCTTATTATCATAAGTATTACTGTTGTAATTGTTATTGTCGTTTTAGACTGCTGCCAAGACCTGTAAACTCTGGACAGGGCGAAGGAACTTAATCATCGACAAAAGAGCCGTTATGAAAACCATGATCCCGCAGGTTGGCCCTTGGCGCCTTTAGGCAACTGCACAAGTAGGCAGGGGAGGTTGGCTGCCGATAGTCCGTGTAAACCATATTTTTCCCCATGCAACAAGCCCTGTTGTAATGGTTACGCCCTCTATATTGCAGATCACTTGCCTCCTATACTTGGAGCATGAGATTCTGGACGGATCGGGTCGGCGATTTTCGCTTCGAACCACATGAAATGTACAGGCAGAGTTCAGGACAGAGACAGAGCCAGATATGGGAGTCCAAAAGAGGATACCAGTAAACCTAAGCAAGATACCCCGCAACTTCTGAAACTCCCATGTACTTAGGGTTGAGGGGAGTTTACGTACACCGAAGACCGACATGTGCCTCTGTCCTTCGAGCCCATTGCACTGCTGAAGCGCCGAAGCCCCTACCTGATCCTCGGTCAGGAGGGGACCGCAGAGGATGTTTTGGCGTACTTCTTGAGTCCTGGATGACCTTGCATTGCTGAGTGTTTCCTCTTTAACATAGAGAGTTGTGGTTGGGCTCGGAATCCGAGTTTCAGACTTGCGCTCTGTGCTCAGGAATGCAACGCAAAACTACAAGGGTCTGTCGCAGCTGGTTCGCACGACCGACCGGCCAAGCGAATCCGCGTCTGACTGGCCGATGGTTAGGGCCTACCGCTGATCCTTGTCCGCATCTGGTTCTGCCCCTGCTGTCCTCCCCATGTCAGGGAAGCCGTGATTCTGAATACTCACTTTGCACCATTGAGCTCTATAGCAAGCCGAAGCATGTTCCACCTACAGGTCCCGTTAAACTCGTTCGCGCAGAAGTTTGTGAAGCCCGACCAGTCTCCACTCTCGTCAGCCTTTTCGCTGCGAGGCATGGTCAAGACTGTCAGCAGCAGATTCCATCGAAGCCCAAGGCTCGTTGTACAGTTTTTACGGCATCTGATCACGAATCTTGGTTGCCTTGGATATGGTCTTTCTGTTACCGGGTCATCAGTGGATCATCCTACCCGTACTGGTTGCCGTTAGCTTCCTATGCTTGTTCTTCACCGTTGCATGAGAGGGCGTGCAGTCATATCTTGCAGTCGCGATGCTGGAGTGGGCCGCCCCGACTAAGGACCTGCTGGCATGAGCAGCTGGAGGCATCTCCGGCAGAGCTTGCTGATGGTTTTTGTGCAAAAGCTCGAGGGTGGTCGGGTTGGCGGATTCATGATTTCGGGAGCTGCAGATCTTTGGACTTTGGAGAAGCTCGCTCGCCCTCCCCACCGCGATGACCGGTGATGACAACAACATCAAGCCAATAGCAGCAACAGCGACAACAGCAGCTGCAGCAGCAGCAGCAGCAAAGCAATCTTGAAGCAATCCCCAGACTGGTGGTCGAATGCTTCGGAGGCTTTGAGACCAAGTTGCCACAGCAAGCCTTGCAGTGTCAACCAGGGAGGCACGACAGAAGACTCCCTCGGCATTTCGGTGTATCGTTAAGTTCCGGTTGGGAGTTTGAGAGGTCACATTTCAACTGTACAGCTCTAATCCAACACTGGTTGAGCATGAGCTTTCCTCGAGAACGGGGCCATCGTTGCAGAAATTGTCTTAGCCGATGAGCGAACTTGGGGTGTAGAGTTGGTAGCTCCAAATCAGCTTAGACGCTTAGCCTCGAAGTCAAGGCAAACCCTGATGTGGGCAAGCACGACTTTTCTTTCGTCTTGTCCCCACAGTGAGCCCTGCACCGCTCGCCGGCAAGATGTCCACGCAGATTGAAGTGGTCCTCATGAGCGGCAGGCGAGTGCAGCTGGCGTGTGCTGAAGATGCACGCCTCGACAGCTTGCTGCAGCGAGCACAAACCGAGCTGGCTGTTCGGGGCAAGTTCAGCGTGCTAAGTACTAGCGGCGAGAGGCTGAACACTCGGCTGACGCTTGGCGAACTTGACTTGGGGGAAGGAGAGGTGTTGACTTTACACACCCGCCCGCTCCGATTAGCGGCAACTTGTGGCGCCTTCGCTGCTTTGCTGGGTGACGGCTCGGTAGCAACCTGGGGTGCCAATGGAGGGGATTCCGGCCTCGTTCAACAGCAGCTGACTTGCGTGCAGGACATCCAAGCTAGCTCAGGTGCTTTTGCCGCGATCACGGACACTGGATCCATAGTTGCCTGGGGTGCTCCAAAATACGGTGGAGACAGCAGTGTCGCACAAGATCGACTGCAGAATGTGCGGCATGTGCAAGCAAGCCATCGTGCTTTTGCTGCTATCTTGGACGATGGTTCTGTCGTTACGTGGGGCGATTCCTGCCACGGTGGTGACAGCTCTGCAGTCCAGCAGCAACTACACGACGTGCAGCATGTCCAGGCAACTCATTCTGCGTTTGCCGCCATCCTGACGGACGGATCAGTTGTGACGTGGGGAAGCGATGCGTTCGGTGGCGACAGCCATTCTGTTCAAGAGCTGTTGGTGAACGTACAGCAGATCCAAGCAAGCGAGGGTGCCTTCGCAGCAATCGCGCGTGATCGATGCGTGGTGACTTGGGGTGCTGCCAGTTACGGCGGTGATAGCAGCAAGGTCAGTGGGCAATTACGGAATGTAAGACAAGTCCAAACGAATGGTCGTGCATTCGCTGCAATTCTTGCAGATGGGTCCGTGGTGACCTGGGGTGATGTGGAACATGGTGGCGACAGCAGCTCCGTCCAAGACCAGCTGCAGAATGTAGAGCAGGTTCAAGCTAGCAATTCAGCTTTTGCGGCCATCTTGAGCAATCGCTCAGTGGTGACTTGGGGCATGTGCCTTGGAAATCGCAACAGTCCGAACCATGAGCTGCTTAGAAATGTACGGGATATTCAAGCAACTCGTTTTGCATTTGCTGCCATCCTGGATGATGGAAGTGTGGAGACCTGGGGTACTGCCAGCTATGGAGGCGATAGCTCTCAAGTGCAGGAACAGCTGAAAGATGTGTGGCATATACAGTCCAACAGGCTTGCATTCGCGGCCATCTTGCGTAACGGATCCGTAGTCACCTGGGGTGTTCCACAGTGTGGCGGTGATAGTCGTCCTGTCCAAGAGCAGCTCCAAAATGTGCAGAAGATCCATGCAACTGACTCTGCTTTTGCTGCTGTCCTGGAAGACGGATCTATCGTGACATGGGGCGCTTCGGCCCAGGGCGGAAGGCAACGCCGCGCAGAACCTGCAAAAACAGGCGTGCTTACAAGTTTGGAATTAAGCTTTCATGGCTTCTCGGTCTACCTTATCACCCCGAAAGACTCGGATCGCCCTCACAGACGGCAATGGCAATGTTCCACAAGCCAAGGTGAAGAGAGCTGCCTTCTCCGTGCTGCAGACCATCGCTGGCTCTGGCGGACGCTCGATTCCCCCTTTCGGTGCGAAGTTCAGTTGAAACACGTAGAAGTAGGCCGAGATGTGTTTTGAATGGACGGTCGTTTTTTTTTATTGCATGTGGCATATGTGTCCGTGATATTTTGTTCTTCTGTATTTCTTGCTCTTCGCCTTAGGAAGCCTCGGCGTTCTTCCATGTTGAAACGTTCTGCCTAATATTACTAAGTTCACAGCATTGCTCCGTTCTTCCCTGCCAGGTGCTTAGCCATGTCAATGTATATAGCACCTGGACTCTGGAGTGCATGGTCGAAGCTTGCAAAGCGATCCACACTTGCACGCAGTAGAGTCGGAGCTAATTAGGAAGTACAAGGAGAACTCGCACTCAACCTTCCGGCACCTTCTGTCCCCCAAACCTTCTTCATCAACTCTTCGGACCCTCACAAGATCCGACAGCAACCCTAAACCCCAGAACGCCCAACCTCCTCGTTCTCTGCAGGAGAAGCGTTGGGGCTCCCTGGCTCATCGTGGAGTTGGGCTTCTAGGACTTCGGGCCCCGATCACTCCGGCTTAGGACTTCAGGACTCACAAAACTCGGAGGTTTAGTCCGCTCCGCTCCTGCTCCTCCAGTCTGTCATTTTGACCGACAAGCAAGAGCTGCCTTGTTAATAAGCAATCGGCCATGAACCGTATACAACCCTCCAGCGGGTCAAAAAGCTTGATGCTGTAAGCAAAGCCCTCACACCTTTTGAATTTTGGTAGTTCTTCGTACCATTTCGACAACAATATCGACTTGTAGTGCGGAGTTCGCGAGAGTCCGACAAGTGGGAGCCAAAGAATTGCTACCGTCATTCGATAATGACCGTGTTGCGTAGTAGAGATACCCTGTCAGAAAGCTTAGTTGTCATGCTGGGGTATTGTTGCTACGACGATGGATTGTGTAGCTTCGGTACGTGAAGAATAAGAGTGTTTCCGACGCGAGGTGGGGGTGTTGTGTCTCACTATCGCTGGCCTGCTGCAGCGCATGCTTTGTGCTCCTTTTGTCTCGCGTTGTTCTGTTCACGACACTGGCTTGAATGAACTATGCAGGCAGCTTGAATTGAAACTTAGCCTTACAACCGCAGTGTTGCGCACAGGGCTGAAGCCCAGCGCTGGCCGGTTAGGCAGGACTTGTTTATGATACCAGCCATCGTGCTTCCACCAAGCATCATTTTGCAGCCGAGGCAGCTCGTCGCGAAGTCGATGTTGCCTTTCTTAGATGCGCGCCGATGCCTGGCTGCAGTGGTCCACACCCTTGCTCTCGGATTCGCTTCCTTTACGACAAGGGGAAATCGACAAAGCGACGCCAGGATGAGTTCTCTCTCTCTCTCTCTCTCTCTTTCTCTCTCTCTCTCTCTCTCTCTCTCTCTCTCTCTCTCTCTCTCTCTCTCTCTCTCTCTCTCTCTCTCTCTCTCTCTCTCTCTACACACCTAAAGTCACTGTTGGACTGCCTACCTATCTGAGTTTACTATAAGCGGCTGTGCTGCTGTATGTGAGGAAGCGTGCCAGTTGCAACTTCCATCCCGCGTGCGGGAAACGAAGCCAGGATTTTGGAATAATTTTTGGGGTTCGAGGGGGTTTGGGGTGAAGCTGATGTGGAAAATGACCACAGGAAGCGTGCAGAACCGCAGTTTCGCCTTGGATGAGCCTTGACGGCAATGTTGACAGGCCTGGTTAAGTTTTTGTTTCGTCTTGGAGCTGGCTTAAGGCCTGATAAATCAAAGGGATTTCTAAAGTTGTGTGTGTGCACAGCTGTTTGGAAACGGCAGAAGCCGGCCGAGTGACTCCCGCGCCTCACTCGCATTCCCTTGCGCAAACCTGTCTGTCCTACAGTTTACAACTTCGACCCTCGATCGGCTTGGTGCCCCCCGCCGGCGGCCACAAAGCAACCCTCGTGCCAAAGGCCGCATATGGACGGCATAAGTCCGCTAGATCACCGCCGAATTCCCGGTCGCCGGTAGACAGCTTCCCAATCTCATATGACCAGGAGAGCTGAAGACTCAGCACACGTTCGGTTACACCTTGCATCCTTTGCAAAGCCCGAGACATGCGAGCCTGCATCCCAGGTCCTGGGCCACTGCGCTTTGAGCTCCATGGCCTCTGGTGCTTTTGGCGAACGTTTGACCACTGCTCTTTTGGGCGCTGCGCGGTGGCCGGAGGCGATTCTGGAGGGTCCAGCTGTGGTGTGTGTCTGTGTCTGTGTGGGTGCATGTGTGTGTATGTGTGTGTGGGTCTTGGCCTGACAGCTTCGAATTTCTGGAGGCAGCATTTCTGCGTGTTTTCGTGTGACGTGCTTCAGGTCTTTACTTTCTGTAGTGTGGGCAAACACACAAGAATGAAGTTGTAAGTAGTGCTGCTGTGTGGTGAGACTGAGACTAGAATGGCTAGAATCTAGAATTTTATGATGATGACCATTGGTAGGACGGGGGGGATGATATCTTAGCTGACTGAAGTCCTTACACAAACGATACGCCACAGGAACGACTGAGCACGCGGGCGGTGGAGATTCTGCAGCTGCCCGGACGAGACAAAAGAAGCTAGAAAGGCTCCAGGTGAAATGCCTTTTCAAATTCCGCATTTGAGGACTTGAGGGTCCGGGGTGTGGAGATGTAGCCTTTAGCCCGCGCACAGCTCCCGAAGCCAGAAGTTCCTCGAAGCCTCCACGGAAGCTTATAGTATAGCATAAAGTACTGCAGTATACTATACGATAGTATACTGTACTATGACTATCCTGTACTGATACTATACTAAATTGGTACTATACTATAGGTATACTATACTAGGGACACCTTCTGACAGACACGAACAGGTCGGCATTTCGAGGTCGGGTTCCCGAGTCGTCCGGGCACTCGCGCACCCTGGCAGGGCTTCGGAGTTCGATGTCTCTAGTATAGTATACTTATAGTATAGTATACTTTATAGTATAGTATAGTCTGGTATAGTAGACCTTCAAAATATGAATGACTTTCTAATGTGCTGTAGATGGTGCGAACCGAAGACATACATACATACGTACGTACATACATACATACACACTTTTTTTTTTTTCTCTCTCTCTCTCTCTCTCTCCTCCTCTCTCTCTCTCTCTCTCTCTCTCTCTCTCTCTCTCTCTCTCTCTCTCTCTATATATATATATGTATCCCAAAATAAAGACCAGACCAACGGCATAGCCATACATGCATTCCAGGTATCAGGCAACTAAACGGGTTGACATGACCTGTCACAACTCCCGTTTTGCAACTCGGAAGCCGTAGACATGACCTGTCACAAATCCCGCTTTGCAACTCGGAAGCCGTAGCAAAATCACCGCTGCTTCAGTCGTTCTGCCAACCTGGTCTGGGCCAGAGCTAGATTCACATAACTTTTTCTGTCTATCATCGTTTTGGCAGAACTCGGCCCATGTAAGTCTCAGGCAGTCGAGAGTTCTGGGTTTTGGGCATCATGAATCGCATGTGTGTCTTTGGGCGCGTTCTCGTCGGTCATCTGCAGCCGTCCGGCAATCGCGCAGCATCAGATTCGGGTTTTGAACTCCTTGAGTATGCGCGAATGTTTTCTAGTTGCCTGCAGAATTCCAGGGGTGAGTAACTTTGACAAGCAGGCTAGCAGCTAGCAGGAGCTGACGCGAACGCTTGGACATCTGACGCTTGAGCTTCTGACTGACTCAGACGGCCAGCTCAGGTGCTGTTCGGCAGACGCAATGAGCGGGAACTGAACTCCTTCGGTGAGCCTTGTGGGGGGTTGCTGGATGCGGACTGCAGTCTTGGCATCGTTCAGGCCCTTTTTATTGGGCCACTACAAGTAGCAAGGGTTGGGTGACAGACCTACAAATTCAGAGCCGAGCGGTTGCCTAACTGCCTGCAATGAGCAACGACGAGCCACCCGGATGTGTCTCAAGTTCAAGGATCTGGCTGGGCGACCCTTTTCATTTCTCTAGGGTTGAGGATATGGTAGGGCATCAAGACAATATGGGCTCTGCACTGTAGAGAAGGGTTTACGGCATAGGGTTTGAGGGGGAACTTGAAAAAACCCTCATAAACTTCGTAAACCGAACTCGAACTGAGACCTACTCTTCGGAGTGACGGAATCTGAGAGGCTCCAAGTGCCTTGCAGCGTTGAGCTGAGAGTTTCCGGCGGCCTCAGGCTTCTGTGTTGATCCAAGGAGAAAAGGAGGGGGACCCTTAATAAGGACCCTCCGTATATACCCATGATACAGCTTTTATATACCCATTAGATGGCCCACATTTTGGGCCGGGAGCCCCATTAAGGGCCCCTCCTGTTGCCCTTGGAGTTCAGGGCTTCAGGCCCTGAGAGGGCTTAGGGCTTTTAGGGACATTTTCCGGTGAAGCATAGATGAACACTTGGGGCTCCTCCGACTATTGGCCCAGACAGCTTTTACAGGAAGCCATACGCCGTCTCTGAAAGGGCTAAAGACATGCTCAACCGTTGCAAGCTGAGATACATGCGATAGAGGATGGATTCAGATGTTGGTCCGGGGTCCTCGAAGGTTTCAAGGAATCGAGCCCCCACCTTGGCTCCTGTGCTGCGGTGGGGTTCACGAGAAGCCACCCGGAAATAGAGAGGGATTCTGGGTTGAATAGATGGGAAACTCGTGTAATCATTTACCTGATCTGATGATGTTTGCTGTGCTTGTTGGTAGTGATGATGGCGGCGGTGTTTGCACATGGTGATGGTGCCTGTGCCACCGCTGTCACCGTGAAGGTCACGACTATTCCAGCAAGGAGCTATTTGCCTGCCTGCGGCCTCGGAAACAAATTCGTGGGGTCCTCGACCCTATCGGGCTTTTCCTGTGAATCGAGGGGCACACACACCGAACGCAGTGCCCAAAAAAAGGCAAGAGCAGTTGAAACCCGAGACGCGCGGGACCCATAGGTCCGTGGAAGCTAAAGTCCGCCATGTTGGAAAGGCTTCGACCCTCACCCCTGCGACACTTACAGCCCGAGAGCCTGAAGCCTGAGCATCCAGGGGGTGTGCCCTTGGGCTTCGCAAGGAAGGCTCGTAGGTTGTGGCCGCAGAGAAATTGGTACTCCCAAGCCGCTGAAAAACGATTCAGGGAGAAGACCTACGTTTCATTGGAGTACCAGTTTAGGGGTGCGCTCTGTGCCCCCGTGGTGACGCGCGACAAAGACACAAGCAGCGAGAGGAGGGAAGAAGCAAATCTCGGACGGTGCGGCAAAAGAAAGACTTTGTTCCTCCGCCGTCCTTGAAAGCGTAGACCCTTTGGGTGCGTAAGGGTCCAGCAGTTCATAGTCTCTTTTTCTTTAAACCCTTCCCCACCCCCGCTGTAAGACTGGTTTTGGCCCTGCGGTTTTCATATTCGATGGCCGGATGGGCTTTCTGCAGCCTGCAGACCGTGCAGTTCTGGCTGAGCCGTAGCGCGCATTTAGGAAAAACACGAATCAGAAATTTCGGAGGTCGTCAGGCGACAGGTCTTCAAGAAACTCGCTGCAAGCCATGCTGGGGGAAAAGCACTTACCAGACTTATCACTCATGACAGCGTAATTTAATGACAATATGATATGTGCCGTTACGGAAACACTATCAGTCAATACCACAAGTATCAGTAGTGGCAAGAGTACGAGTAATCCTGCTTGCTTTTATTGCCATGACCAACAACAACCACAACGGCGACAACAACAAGAGCCAGAGCCAAAATCGGAACCAGAAATACCACCACCATCAACAACAGCAACAACAAGAACAAGCAGAATGACCACGATCAAGACCACGACAACCACAACTGTAACAACAACACCTAGAGCAACAACAACAGCAACAGCAACAGCAACACCTGCAGCAACAGTTTCTCTAACAGCAGCAGAAACCTCAAAAGCAGCAAGATTAACAACAGCAGCAGTCATAGTATTGGTATCAGTCCTGCTACTGATTCTGCTGCTACTACTGATAAGGCTGCTACTTCTATACTTGCAACTACTACTACTACTACTACTACTACTACTACTACTACTACTACTACTACTACTACTACTACTACTACTACTACTACTTCTACTACTTCTACTACTACTACTACTACTACTACTACTACTACTACTTCTTCTACTACTTCTACTACTACTACTACTACTACTACTACTACTGCTACTACTGCTAATACTACTACGACTACTACTACTACTACTACTACTACTACTACTACTACTACTACTACTACTACTACTACTACTACTACTACTACGACTACGACTACTACTACTACTACTACTACTACGACGACGACGACTACTACTACTACTACTACTACTACTACTACGATCACTACGACGACGACGACGACGACTACTACTACTACGACAACGACGACGACTACCACTACCACTACCACTACCACTACCACTACCACTACCACTACCACTACCACTACCACTACCACTACCACTACCACTACCACTACCACTACTACTACTACTACTACTACTACTACGAGCACGGCTACGACTGCAAATAGTCATTGTAGTTTCGACAAGGGCTACCTTGCCCTCCTCTGGCGGGTGACAGAAGAAGTGCCCGTGAGGACACAAGGAATGTCGCACGCGAGGGGAGGCCCTCGACTTTTATGGCGATCCGAAGAACCAGAAGGCCTGCTCTGGACTTTGTGACAGGCTTCGGGTTCAGCCTTGGCAAAGCGAGAAGCCAAGCGCTTCCTCAACCCAAAAGATCAGAAAGACCACTTGAGGCTTCACCCGTAGCTGTTAGCCGTACCCTAATATCCAGGCCGCACCCGGAAACGGTGTGTAAATGCAGAAAGGTTTGCACTCAGCACGCTCACCTGTGCCAGGATGGGCTCAGCAGCAAGCAGCTCAAGCTCATCGCTGGCGCTTTGGACCAGTCGGCCTGGTCGTGGCGGAAGGGTAAGATCCCGAATTACCTTGCGGATTCCCTGTACCATAGCCTCAAAACCCACTTACTTTGAAGGACTCTCTGACAGCAGTAAATTGGGGAAGTGAGTATTCGGATTAACGGCTTGAGATGGAAGGCATTGCAGTCATTGCGGTAAGCTTGCTTGCATCCCAAGTACTTGCAAGCTAGGTATAGCTACACTTACATCCAAAATAAAAACCCCGAGACTGGGCTTTCTCAGGGAGTGCAGCATCAGGCACAACACCCACGGGATCAACTTCAGAGGATAGGTTAAGTCGCTATCTGCTTTCTTTCTTTGTAGGTGCATTCTGCGACCCCAGACCGGTACACAGCCGGATGATGGCATTGCTGTAGTCGATCGCCCACATTTCGTGCTGGGGCACTTGGTGTTGTGCACTCATTTGCCGAACCGTTTGAATGGCCATCGTGTTCGAACTGCTGGCTAGTATGTTCCGAAAACCCTAAACGGTAACAGACACCTGGCGGCTTCGCGTTGGCGGCAGGCACTGCAGCTCCTCGGCTACGACTGCCCCGATGCAGTGCAACGTTGGGCGAAAAAGAAAGGGGATCGGCCCCAAACCTGCATTTCGAAGCTCCGGGCTCTGGGATGGATGTTGGAAGTGCATGGCTCGAAGGTTTGT